GAAAATATAGACGCTAGAGAGACATCTCAGTAGTTAAAAGCACTTATTGGTCTTCCAGAAGGCCCTACTCAGTCCCCAGCAGGCACATGATGCAACTCCAGTTCCTGGGGATCCATTACCCTCTTCTGGCCTCTACAGGAACTGCATGCATGTGGTAAATAAACACACACAGACAAAACACTCATATGCATAAAAATAAAATGAGTAAATACTTTTTAAAGATTTTTTAAAAATAAAAAGAAAGGCAAATAAAGAAATCCACCTTGAGATGCTGTGAATGATACTGAAGCTCAGGCCTTTGCCTTAGTCTCCTTTCACAGTGTCCCTGCCACACCCCAGCACCCTGGACGAGTGAAGCCCCTTAGCTCCTAGTAAATTAAGAGCATGCCAGCATCCACATGCAGAGTAGGGGGACAGTTTGTGGCTTCAGAGAGGAGTGTGTAAGTACAAATGAAGCCTACCATATTGAGATTGATCAATACAGGCCACCCATCGCTAATTGTCACCCAGCAATTTTGCTTCCAGGAGTCACATGGTGGGTGACAGTCACAGACTTGGATGGATTCTGACACAGACCAGAAATCTGGCTTCTCAAGACAAGAGACGCAAAGGTGGGACAGACAGTGAAGTTAACAGGCAGGGACGGACGCAGGGGCATCTCTGACAGGTCAAGCTAAGGAGGAAAATTGGAAAGGAAAGCCACTCAGCCACCATGTGTGCTGGAGTTGGCCAGGACAGCTGGAAGAAATATCACCCAGCCAGATTCCTGGCCTGGACTGTGATGCATGCATGCAGAGGGTTATCAATAACCCTGCATGATTAATGCTGATGATTTATGTTAATTTTGCCATAAGCTTTATTTGTGCCCGGTGTTGAGCTTAAAGATGTCAAATCATTTCTTAGGAGGGTGTTAGAGATTTTTTAAAAGCCAAGTCTAAACTATAAGGGCTGACATTCCATATATCACAGCTCCAGCACTCTCGGAGTCCAGGGTCACCATTCCCCTTGTAATTGCCTCTCGTCCAGCAATGAATTCTTGGGGAAGAGTTCCACATGGGAGTCTGGGTGGCTGCAGAAGCATGCGCGGTCCCTTCTTTGGGTAGGGAAAGGGGCACAGACTTCAGAGCAGGGAGGGGAGCTGCAAATGGCTGAGGGTCCCAGAACCTCTCTATGTACAGATGAGGTGAGCCACAGCATGCTTACCTACTGTCATTTTAGGTGGTTGCATGGTAGTCACATCTCTTCTGTAGCCTCAGTTTCCCTTCTGTGAGGTGGGTTAAGAAGCCCCGACTTACTTCACAAGAAAGCTGAAAGGTTCAATTTTTGTCACTCCGTGGAAAGGCTTTGGTTTCCATAATGTCCCCAAATACACAGAATATATTTGCATTCCTGGGGTGCTCTGAGCACTCGCGACTTCCACAGGCCACAATCATGGAGGCTAGGAGCAGATCTGACTTTCTGGTTGTCACTGCTTACCCTGCTCCTACCCTGCCCTGGTTGTTGACCCCGGAAGCCCCTTAGATGCCTTTTCTCGCTTTTCATGCACCATCACATGGGTGGCTAGCCCCATGCTAGCTAACCCCATTCTAGCTGCCAGAGTCCGTGAAGAATGAGAAGGGAGGGACATACATCAACTGAAACCTGGCCAACACTAAAGCTCAACACTAAAAAGGACATCGCCAGGTGGTGGTGGCACACACCTTTTATCCCGGCACTCAGGAGGCAGAGGCAAGCAAGTGGATCTCTGTGAGTTCAAGGCTAGCCTGGTCTACAGAGTGAGTTTCAGGACAGCCAAGGCTACACAGAGAAACCCTGTCTCAAAAAATAAAAATAAATTTAAAAAAATTATAGGACATAGTATCTAGTGGTCCTGGGCTACATGTGTGACCACTTCGCAGGGCATCTCAGACAGGTAGACACCAAACAATAAAAAGAGAGGTGGCTTAATGAAGTCACAAACATCTACCACGCTAAATGTATTTGGGAATTGGAGAGGCCCTGGACTCCCAGCCTTGTACATCTACCTGGATATCTCTCACTCCTTGCACAAAGGCCCATCCATGCTGTCTCTATCCTCTGCTGCTCTGTGTCTTCCAGACTCCCCCTGGGCTCCAGTAATCAGGGTTCCAGAAGCTTTGCCTCCTATAAATCAGTCACCCAGTTTTCTGATTTCAAAATTAACCTCCTCCTGCTCTCCCCTGACGAAGCCCAGATTCACACCTGAAACCCAACCCACAGGGCGCAGTCCATCCCATCCTCTCTCTTCATAGCTGTATCTCTTGCTAGAAATCTATTGTCTATAGCACAAAATCAACCATTTTTCTATGGGGTTTGAACCAAAAGGAAATATTCTATCTGCTTTCTTTGTTTCCTGGGATGGAGCTCCACAAAACCAGCGTGGTCCAGGCAGTACGGTGCACACCTGTCAAAACATATGGCCCATGCCATTTATCAACTAATCTGTTCCAAGAACAGATAGGCAGTATCAGCAATCTGGTATTGATCTGTACAGGCCTCTGCTATTGTTCATCCCCGCATCCCGAATGGCAGCAGGAATTAATGAAAGAGACTAAACAATGCATAGCAGTCACTCAGCCCCACAACTTTGTTTGCTGCTCTCATTAAGTTGGGCAAAGTTTCCACAGTGAACTCGGAAGCTCTCTTTGGAGGGGTGAGCCCAGAAGGTCAACCCCCTTTTCCTTCCGTGGTCCAGCTGCTGACTTCTCTGAGCTGGACTTGTCTTAGTGATGCTTCATATTCCTTCAAAGGCCATGAAAGTAGCATGTAATGGCATATGAGAACCCATCTGGTCTCTTCCAGAGACTGAGTGGAAAGATATCTTCCTCTAATAGCCCCTTTGTAGTTGTGCTTAAGACATTGTCTTGGATGAGTGGGTGAGTGGATGAATGTATGCATGGATAGATGCATGGAGGACGGAGGGAAGGATATATGAATGTATGCAGAGATGGACTGGTGGATGAAGAGACAAGTAGATACATACATGATGGATGGATTCATGCATGGATGGATGGATGCATGGATAGATAGATGGATAGGTGGGTGACTGAATAAATGGGTGCATACATGGATGATGGATAAAGATAAATGCATACATGCATCGAGTGGTGGATGATGCATATGTATGGATAGATGATGAATGGGTGAGTGAACATATATGGATGGATACATGCATGCACAGGTGGCTACAAAGATGAATGGATTGAAGGGTGAATGATAGATGGATGGGTGGATAAATGGATAGATGGTTCTGAACCAAGTGTGATGAGAACTCATGAGTACATTAGTCTCATGGCCATGAACCCAAAATAATGCATCCTGATTGTGGACAGCCCTATTCTTCTCAAAGAACAAAAGCATTGTCTCATTCCATAATCACGGTGGCCAGGAGTTTTCTCACCATGATGGAACAACAGGAGACGGTGAGGTACAATGGATGAAGATTCATCTTACATCCCACAAAGCCAGCCTCAAACAACTGACCTCACAGAGGGAAAGAAACATACTCACTCCTGAAACAGACAAGGCTCCACTCTCCTGAATCCCCAAAGCACACATCCTAACCCAGTTTGCTAGAAGTCTCAAGGCCACAGTGGGGTCAAACCGCAGGCCTATGCCAGCTAAGCCGCTGACTGAAGCTGACACTGAGAGACACAAAACCCCATTCTCCTCAGAAGAGCCCCTTGAAAAGCTGCCTGGGGTGTCTGTAAGGAATAACAGCAGCCAGTGTGTCCTCTCATTCGGGGACAATGTGGTCTTCCTATTTGGAAGGCTTCCACCTTAGCGTGGAAGACATTTCAGCAGAAGACAATCCAAGAATGGAGTGTTCTGTTCAACTTGAGCTGGATATGAAAGGCCACTCACACCCACCTGTGAGATGAAGCAGAGACACAGAAGGCTACTAGCATGGCCTCGCTCAACTGACCAGGGCCTCCAGAGTGTCAAGAGACATTTCCAGTCTGCGAGAAGCACAGAACAAGGGGTCAGACCAGGCCAGCCAGGCATGCGACATGCCATCCTCCAAGGACAGATGGCAAATGGCCTATGCAGCTTCCTCAGAAGTCCACCTGAGTCTGAGGGCCGTTCCCCTTCACTTCTGTCCCGCTCCCTCCAGCATCACCTGAACAACTAATCCTCCTCAAGGGCCAGATCACAGCCCTGCATTGTCAGGGAGGCGAGAACCACAAAGGCCTCTGCTTCCATGGAAGAGAGCAGGTATGGATAGTGAGAGTGAGGAGGGAAAGGAATGGAGCCTGAGACCCCTGCACCTATCACCTTTCTGTTGCTGTGATAAAATACCACAACCAAAAGCCAAAACCAAAAAAAAAAAAAAAAAAAAAAAGAGTTTATCTTGGCATTTATTTCCAGAGATATGGAGTCTATTGTTGGTGGGAGGGCATGGCAACGGGCAGCAGGAGCAGGAAGCTGGCTGATCACATTTTCAACCACATAAAGGAAGCAAAATAGAGTGAAGAGGAAATGAAGTGAGGCCATAAACCCTCAAAGCCATCCCTAGTGATGTAATTCCTCCAGTAGGCTCCAACTCCTAAAGGTTCCATAAGCCCCCCAAACAGCGTCACCAACTGGGGACCAAGTTTTAAATACATGAGCCTATGAGAGACATTTATCCCTCAAGCTGCCACGCCCCCCTAATCCTGCTGTTGTGGTTTGTGTAGGATCTTAGTGCATTCCCCAAAGATTTGAGTGCAGGAAGCTTGGCTCCCAGTGTGCTGATGACAAGAGGGTAGGGCCTAGTGAGAGCTGGTTAAATCACTAGGGAGCTGCCCTTGAGTGGGATTAAGGTAGTTTTCAAGGAAACTGAGTTATCCCTCAGAGCAGAGCAACAGAAATGGACTCTGCAGCATTCACCACTCTCTGGCTTTCCTGTCACCTCATGGCTACTCTCAAACATGCTTCTGTCACCATGTAATAGCCAAGGAGGCCCTCACCAGAAGCTGTGTCAATGAGAAAACCTGATCTTGAATGTTTGACTTCTAAAACTGTGAGGTAAATACACATGCTACAAAGTACCATCCTTATATATTTTGCTATAGCTGTGGAAAACAGACTATCACACACACACACACACACACACACACACACACACACACACACACACACACTTTGAATTCCCAGATAAATTTTGTTTGATGCTTACCAGTAGGTAGTGCAGAGGTTGGGGACATAGAACCTTGTCCACTTGAGTTCATGCTGGCAGACTTTGCAATGACAAAGGAAGTTGTCGACCCACAGACCAGGACTAACCACAGGACGGACTTCTGTGAGAATTGTCCCTTCCCTGCTGTCCACAACTACTATTCAGGTAGAAATGAAGCACCTGAGATAAAAATAAATAGATAGAAATAAAGCAGAAGTCAGGCTCTGCTGAGACCTGAGAAAGTAGGAATGAGAGTCACACCTGGTCCTGTTAAGCAGAATCCACAAAGTTCTAAGACTGTACTGGAGAGAAGGGGGCTTGGATGTCAGAGAGGAACCTCCAGCAGAGGACACCGTGGACAGGAAACAGGACACCATGGACAGGAAGCAGAGGATGCCATGGACAGGAAGCAGAGGACGCCATGAAGCAGAGGATACCATAGACAGGAAGCAGAGGATGCCATGGACAGGAAGCAGAGGATGCCATGGACAGGAAGCAGAGGACGCCATGGACAGGAAGCAGAGGATGCCATGGACAGGAAGCAGAGGATGCCATGGACAGGAAGCAGAGGATGCCATGGACAGGAAGCAGAGGATGCCATGGACAGGAAGCAGAGGACACCATGGACAGGAAGCAGAGGATGCCATGGACAGGAAACAGAGGACGCCGTGGACAGGAAGCAGAGGACACCATGGACAGGAAGCAGAGGACGCCATGGACAGGAAGCAGAGGACGCCATGGACAGGAAGCAGAGGATACCATGGACAGGAAGCAGAGGATGCCATGGACAGGAAGCAGAGGATGCCATGGACAGGAAGCAGAGGACGCCATGGACAGAAAGCAGAGGATGCCATGGACAGGAAACAGAGGACACCATGGACAGGAAGCAGAGGATGCCATGGACAGGAAGCAGAGGACGCCATGGACAGGAAGCAGAGGACGCCATGGACAGGAAGCAGAGGACGCCATGGACAGGAAGCAGAAGACACCATGGACAGGAAGCAGCTGTTGAGCAGACAAAGGTGAGGGCCATTTTAAAAGAACCCTTTGAGTCCCAAGAAATAGCCTTAGACCAGAGAGCAGGCTCTGTGCCACTCTCACTTAGTGTCCTAGTTAGCACTCAGAGCACAGGGCTCTCCACATGAAGACCTACTCGGCAAGGCAAGCCCTGATTGCGCTGGGAGCTTAGAATGTGAAGATGGGCCACAGTGGCACTGCTCAATGTTCAGGACAAAGCCATTAAGCTCAGTCCCTACACAGTCATCAGCCACTGCAGGTTGACACCACACAGAATCCTGGGAAGCCAATCAGCACAGCCCACTATGCAGCTGAGCTGCTGATGTCACCTTTGGAAGCAGGGGCCGTGGAAATGGGACGGACCTACAGGCTCTGGCACCAGGGGGACTCTGCTGGAGCATGAGCAGCTTGGGACAGAGCTGACTGCGAGCTCAGTTTTGCCCACACTCCTCATGCCTGCTCTGCCTGCCAGCCTCCACACATGCCTCTGTAGCCACCACCATCCCTCAGCGTCCTGAACCCAGGTGCTCTCAGTCTCAGTCCTGCTGTGCACAGGAGTTCTTGTCTAGATCAGCTCCTGTGACCCTTGAGTGGTAGCACAAGGCTGTCTCCAAGATGGCACTGAGGAGGCAGCACCCATGGAGCTAGCCCACTATGGTCTTTGAAAAGTTTCTTCACCACCTAAAGTTCCTTGAATAAACTTATGTCTGCTCAGAGAATTCTTCTCAGGACAGTGAATGTCAAGATCCCCATCCCCTCTCCTGCACATGGACATGGGCAACCTCACAATAGTGGCCAGCTTGCCAGGAACAAAGAGGAAGAGATCCCCGGCCCCTCTCTCTCCCGCTAATACCAGAAAGTCATCAGATGCTCTGGGAAAGAAGCAGGTGTAATCCGACATCTGCTGATACAGAGGCTGAGGGACACATGGAATAAGAAGGAACTAAGTAAGCCCCAGCTCCTCTCATTATGAATTTCAGAATGCAGCACTGAGAGTCCAGGTCACATCCTCAAAAACAAGCCAAACAAAGCCCTGCCCCCAGCTGCATCAATTCAGAATATCTCCTGAATAATATCCCTCAAGTCCCCCTTTCTGAAAGTTATTAAATATACAATGCCCCCCACAAAGTTCCTATGTTACAGGCTCAGCTGTTAGCTGATGGACTTGGTTGGGTCCTAAGGTCTCTGATGTCAACTATGGGTGGACAGGTTGGGGAATTCACATATTAATGGCATTGCTGGAGGTGCAGGAGGAAGGAGGTGAGGTCACAGCAGAGGAAGTGAATGCACTAGAAATGTGCACTGAGGGTTATATATTACCCGGCCTCTTTCCTGTCTCTCTGCCTGCTTCCTGGCTGTCAGGAGGTAAGTAAGCAGCTATGCTCAGTCACACTCATTCTGCTATAGTGCTGGATACTGCCTCAGGCCTTACAACAATGGAGCCAGCTGATGCCGTGATCTAAAATAAATGTTCCCCTCTTCAAGTCCCTGAAGTCACTTCCCCCAGGCATTTTGTCACCATGACAGAGAACTGACTAACACATGGAACTTTCCTATCTTCTGCCCAGAACTCAGCCGCGCTTCTCCCCCAACACCCCACCAAGAGGCTCTCAGATAGGCATGGATATGGATGTGGGAAGCCACGTCTTGCCAGAATGCCTAGCACTCCCATGGCTGGAAGTTCAGGGAGGTGGACTTGCTCACCTTTGAGGGCTCTACTGTTTAAGGCCTGAAGGCTCCTCCTTAGCAACTGGGACATGTCACACTGCCCAGTCTCAGACTGGCCCCAAACCCATGATGATGCATCAAGGGAAGCCAACCTGACGCCTGGACTGTTTCAGCTCTAGTCCCTTCTCTGAAGCCATGACTAAGAAGACCGCCTGGCAAGTTCAGGAGGCAGCGGGGGTCAGACAGCGGCATGCGGGGGTCAGACAGCGGCATGTGGGGGTCAGACAGCGGCATGCGGGGGTCACACGACAGGGTCATGCGGGCGTCAGACAGCGGCATGCAGGCGTCAGACAGCGGCATGCGGGGGTCAGACAGCGGCATGCGGGGGTCAGACAGGGGAATGCGGGGGTCAGACAGGGGCATGCGGGGATCAGACAGGGGAATGCGGGGGTCAGACAGGGGCATGCGGGGGTCAGACAGGGGCATGCGGGGGTCACACGACAGGGGCATGCGGCCTCCTCTGCTCCCCAGCGCCGTTTGCCATGCAGTTGTTATTTTTCACTTTAGTTTGTCAACATTTAAAAATCATAAGGTTCGGCTTTTCTTTTTCTTTTCTTTTTTGACAAGGCCTCTGAGGTAGCCCAGGCTAACCTCAAACTTGTAATCCTCCTGCCTCAGTCTCCTAAGTGATGGATTATGGATGTCTTCCACCACCACATCTGGCTGCTTCACTTTTTCTTTTTAAGTTTGCAGGACCACATCTAAACAGTAGAGGAGGGAATAATGCTGGATGATTCTCCCTGGAAAAATAGGCACAGGGCAGCGTGACCTGCTCTAGAACAGTCCACAGGGGTCAACCTCTTCTCGACTGGTACCTAGAGGTGTGAGTTTTGCAATGCTAGAACAGGTCTTGGATACAGACTGGGGCAAGATAAAGAGAGCTCTGAAGGACCACTAGGTTCAACACCTAGCAAGTCCCACCTCCCAGGAAGCCTGGAGACTCCCTCTTCCTGTGAGGGTATTCTCCTGCACATCATCAGCTCACCCTGAAACCAGCTGAATCTGGCTGACTTGAAGAATAAAATTATCAGAGAGGCAAGCAGAGACCTCCAGGAGC